AAATAATATACTAAGTTTCCAATATTAAGTATATATTTTCAATTAAAACTTTCTATTTTAAAAATTATTTACTTACGAACTGTTAAGACACTTAACTTCACAGTGTGTTTTCGCACTTTTATGCTCTGATGGAAGGTCTTTCTCCTCAAAGAGATTATTAATAAAGAGTTCACTATGCAAACTTCTTCATTTTTCAAGTTGAGATACTAGTTCAATAAGGTCAATAGTTTCAGACATATTTATATTTTTCATATATATAAGCCACAAACAAAGCTAAAATTTAGCACGTAAAAAAAACTTTTTTGTATGGGAAAAATACGTGACAAACAAAACTAAAATTTAGTGTAAAAAAACTTTTCGTGTGGAAAAAAAATACGCATTACATCATCATAACATCATCTTGGGTCACCCAGGTTGTTCTGGGTCAAAGCAACAGTACAACTCTAACCCGACGGGTTAGATCATACGGATCACGGGTCATTAAAATTACCAACCCTGACTTGATTTAAAATCTGGGTTGGGTTGATCACCCGGGTCTGATCCGATCCTTTCGGAGCACTAGTTCAGTCTATATTAATATTATAATGTGCACTTTCAATAATAATTGTATTATTTTTATTAGTATTCCAAATTTCAAGATTCATTTTAGTATAAGCTGAGCTAATTGCTGATATAACCCAGGGAATTTTTTTATCTGCAAGCCATTCTATAAATAAAAATTTGAAAATTAATATATTTAATTTTAAAATAAAAAATTAAAAAATAATATACCTTCCGCAGCTTTAGATTTGCAATCTTCAATTAATTTAAATGCTTTTTCTACTTCATTTTTAGTTTTACAAGTTGGCATAGCCCTTATAATATTTTTTATTTCTTCTGAAACATCTTTTAATTTTTTTATATTTCTAAATTAAAATTAAATTAATTTAATAAATATAAATTTTAAATTTTAATTAATTATTATTTACATACCTATTATAATGAATTATACATTGTTAACGTTACTCTTTTCATCGAATAAGTTAACTATGATTTGAAGTCAAGAAGGCAATAGCTATAACTTAAATCCAATTAACTTAACACGCTATTTATTAGAGTTTTTATTTAGTTAACAAGAAATAAATTATAAGTTTTATGTTTGCAAAATGTTAAAAGTATAATAATGATATAAATAATATAAATATAATAAATAATGTGTATGTTCCATTTGGCAGATATGGCATATTTAGCATATATGTCATATTTGACAGGTCTGTCAGTTTCTGTCGGTTTCAACATATTTTAAAAATATGCTTAAGGTATTCTTCAGTAGACATTTCTAGATACCTTTTATGTAAAAAGTTTCCAAGTTCTAAAATAAAATTTTATTATTAAAAACATTTTATTTAATACAATAAATAAATTTTTTATAATTACCAATAACTTGACCTTTATATACATCAGCTATAATACAACCAATTCCATTAAAATTTGAGTTTAAATAACTAAATTCAATTTTTTTCCATTATCTTTTTCAACAATAGAAAATACTTCATAAAAATTCCATTTATATGCTTCAGAAGATTCAGCATTAGTAAAAACTCTAGCAAATGTTAAAACTACAGTAGTGGCAGAAAATAATGATAATATCATGTGACTTGATCAACATTACTTAACACTTTCTTTTTAATAATTTTTTTTTTACATAATTATTTAAATCAACATGTGATATATAATATAAATAAACAAATAATCATAAGATCGGCAAAAAAAAATTTTTTATTCATCTTTTTTTTCGTCATGCTGAAAAAATTAACTTTAAATGAAAGACAGTCCTTTATAAATAATTTGTGGATAAATGGAGTCTATATTATTAATAAATTACATAAATAACACATATTCTGAAATTCACATTATATACTTATATCTGAAAACTTAAAAATTTTGGTATTATTAAACCAAAATCACGTCCAAGAAGGCCAAAACTTTTGTCTTCAAAAAAACGAATTCATCTTGGAAAATTAGCTAGCACAAGAAAATGTGCAACTAGCAAGGAAATTGCTTTTACACTTAACCAAGCATATTCAAACCTTAATATTGCTTCTAAAACTATCTGTAAAAATCTTTTTAATCTAGGTTATCACGTTAGCATACCAACTCCAATACCAATGTTGACTATTGCTGCCAAGGAACGCAGAGTTGAATGGTCAAAATCTCACCTAATGAAAATGGGAAAATGTCATTTTTTCTGATGAAACTACTTTTCAACTATTTCATAATACAACATTAGTAAGATATAAGATTGGAGAAGAAAAACCATGACATGCAGTTGTAAAACATCCACTCAAAGATCATGCATGGGGTGCTTTCTGTGCACGCAGAATTGTGGGATTTCATTGTTTTACTAAAAATATGAATAGAGAACTTTATCGGATATTTTAACTAAAAATCTTTTTACTAGTACTACAAGGATCCTTGGAAGAAAGTAAACATTCTAACAGGATAACGATCCTAAGCACAAGGCAAAATTAACAACAATTCTTCTTCAAGAAAAATGTCCGCGAATGCTTGATTGGCTATCCTATTCTCCAGATATCAATCCTATAGAGAACTTATGAACTATAATGAAAAAAAGAGTAGAAAAAAGCGTAAATCAATGTATAGCACAAAAAAAATCAGTTAGATTAAATGATTTTTTATCAATTATTTGATCTGAATGGGAAAATCTTGATTTAGACCTTCTATCAAATTTATGTGTGAGCATGAAAAAACGTTTAAAAGACGTTATTAAAAAGAAGGGTCATATAATTGATCATTAAAGTTTTATTTTTATTAACTTGTGGTATTATATTATATATTATTAAAATATTTTATAAATAAATTAAAGATTAATCGAAAAAACATATAGCTTAAAAATTATCATTATTTTCTGCTACTACTATAAAAATATGTATGTTTATAATTAATTAATATTTATTATATTTATAAAAATGTTTCTTATTTAATACACTTACTTTTATTAATATTTTCGATATAAGAGGTTATTTCAAATTTTTTCATGATATTATTACTAATTTTTAAATTAACACGCTTAAAAGCAATATCAATTTCAAAATATTTTAAATTTAAAAACTTCATAGATTATTGCTTAGACATGCAAATAATAAAAACCTTTTCATCATTAAAAATATTTAAAAATTAAATAATTAGTAATTTTAGTTAATTTGTATAATTATATAAGTGATAAAGTAATTTCATTCATTATTATAATATAAATTTCAAAAAATTATCATAATAACCAATAATCAAAATTTAATGAATAATAGCTTATATTAATCCTTTCATTAAATTAAATCTATTGGTAACAAAATTATAGAAATTTGATCTAGTTCTAAGGTATTCCATTTAAAATTTTCTATTAATAATATTTAAATTTTAAAATATAATACTTATGAATATTTCTAATATAAGAATTTTCACATTGTTATTGACATAATGATTCATGAATAATACCTAATTAAGTAATTAATTTATATAGATATAATTAAATTCAAATAATAATAAAATTATTAATTATTAATATACCCATTAAATTACTTCTATATGAATATTGTAATTTTCTTTGTTTTCTAATATAGTAATTTAATTTTATAGAATTATTTAATGAAATATGAAGATTATTTATTGAAGTAGTATTATTCAAATATAATTTTAAAAGTTGTTCTAAACATAAAATTTATTAATTTATATTTTAATAAATAAATTACATATTTAATTAAATATAATTTACCTGTAATAAAGTTCTTCCTGTAAGATTTAATATGTCTTCTTGATCAATAATTTCATTAAGTTGTTTTAAAATATTAGATAGTGTAGTTACAGAAGGTAGAGGTAAATAGTTGTGAATTCTTTTTGAAATAATAGCAATAAATGGACGATTTTCTAAATTATCTGGTGTAAATGAATTAAATTGAATATTACATTTTTGAGTAATTATTAGTACTTTGATAATCATATTTTCAATTAAATGAGAAAAACCTATAAATATTTTAAAATAAATTAAATATTTTATATATTTTATGTAAATTATAAATATATAAGATTATATATTGTAAAATTAAAAATCAACATATGACAAGTTGTTTGTTTTGAAGAATTATATAAAATAATATTATAAGTTTGTACTTGTGAAAAATTTAAATCATTTCTCTATAAATAAATAATTAATAATAAATAATAATAAAATTTAAATTAATAAATAAAAATAAATATTATACCTTTTCAAAATCTTCAAGAAAACAAAATTTATAATCTTTAAATAATTTTTCTAAATAGTTATTATCAATTCTATTATCTATTATAAGAATATATCTATGTCCTTTTTATGGATTTTCCAATCCCAATTAGCATATTCAATAAAAAATGCATTGTTTATTGCCTAATATTTTTTTTAAGAATAAAAATAATTAAACTTAATTTTTTAAAAATATTTTAAAAAATATTGTAAATACCAAGTTTTATGTTTTCTTAAAATAGCCATTCCATGACAATTAAGATTTGTTTTGAAATTAACAAAAGGATAAGGAGTTTTATGTGCAGTAATAAATTGACTAACAATATTAAATAAAAATAAAATATTATAAAATATTTTATTAAATAAATATAAATATTAAATTACTTACCTTAAAGTAAGCTCTTGAGAATTATAATCTTTTTGATCTAATAATTCATTATAATATTCATTTTCAAAATCTACAATAGTATGTTTTCTTTCTAATATTTGCTTTGAAACAAATTTGCAAATTTTGATTTCTTGACATATTCTAAATTCTCTTTTACAAGTAATACCTAAAAATTAGTGATTTTTTAGATTTGCTATTTTTTAGGATACCTAAAAATGTTGAATGTTTCTTAATCTAAAAATTTTTTTTGCTTGATTGGTATTCTATCTAGAAACATTATATATTAAGGCTACTCCTATTTCAGAATTTCTTGAATACTCTTTAAACTCAAAAAAATATTCAATGTCATAAATTTCAAGATTTGATCTAAATATAGCTATTATTTGATTTTATATAATAATTATAAAAATTAAATTACATATTAATATAATTAAAAACTATAAAAAATAATTACTTCAATACTGATTTTAAAGATTGTTTATCTTCATCACTCAAATTATCATTTTCTAAATTTATGTAAAGAGTTTTCTATTAAATTATATAAAATATTTTGTTTTAATAAATTTTATTACAATATAAATTTCATAAATAATATAGCATTTGCTATTCTATTATAATGTGATTTTAAACGATACAATTTCATTTTTAAAAAATTATTATTTTTATTATTATTTAATTATTTTTATATTAAAATCATTTTATTTTATTTAATATATATAGTGAGATCAAGAATTCTTCAGTATTATCACTAGAACTAATAGAAATATTATCTACCATTTCATTTATTATTGGTATCAAAAAAAGTAAAGTTTTATTAAAAGAAATATAAAGTATTAAGATTAGAAAAATAAAAGTATTTTTTAAAAAAAATTTGTAAAATGTGAAAAATTTTTTTTCATTGATCATTTAGTTTAAAAAATTAAAAAGAAAGTTTATAGTAGATTTTTAATTTAGTACAGTAAAGTATACTTTGATGATCACAAGTAAGTATTAATCAGTATAGTATGATTATATAGATCATACAGATCATGCTAATCATAAAATCTAATATTATATCGTACTGGTTTTCTATTTACCATGTTTCTATTATAGAACTAGTACAGTATGATATCAAAATTTGTATTCTGCATAATCATATTATACTGATCTATATCGCATATTATGAAATTAATTTATAATTAGTCAAACTTATATAATCTACAAATGATTTACTATTGTAGCTTAATACTGAATGTTAAACATATTAAACATGTCAAACATATTAAATGTCAAACATATTAAGCATGTTTAATATATTAAATATATTTAATATATCAGATATGTTTAATATAATTAATGTAGTTAACATAAATTAAATGTATAAATAGAAGACTAAATTCATTAGAAAAAAGATAACTATCAATTGCTAGATGCAATCTGATTAGTTTAGTGATAACTATATGTAATCTTCCTTTTTATAAAAATAGCGTAAGGTTACTTTTTCTGTTTGTAATTAATTCTCCTTTCTGTATTTCTTATTTTAGTATTTTTATCTTTAATTTATTTATTTATCAATAAACTCTTTTTATCTAAGATATTTTTGTCACATCTTGTATTAAAAACATAATTAATATTTGACTTAACCAATAGAAATATACTTAATAGTGTATTAAATATACTTAGTAGTATATCATAGATGAATTACAGTGACTATTAAAGTATTGCATCACCTGAATATAAAATTTAAAATGGAAATATCTTGTAATTTAAAAGGTGTAGTATTATAAAACTTAAATATAGAATTTGTTATATCTTAATCTTTATCAATCTCTTTCATATTTTTTTTAATATTTTTTTTTTTGTTATGAATCTTTCGCCAAAGTGGTGATGCATTTTTTTGATTGATTTAAGAAATAAATAAAAACACATATTATATGATTTTTTTTGCTTCAAAACAACTATGCAATACATATAAAAAAGATGCCTTATGGCATTTTTTGCCTCTTTGTAATTTTATAAAATATCTATAGTTTATCTTTCTCTTGAAAAAGAGCTAGGATTTATGCCTTATTTGATGAAGATTTTTGCCTCCCGCTATATAGTAAACAAGAAAAATGTTTCTCAATCAACTGTTATAAGAACCAAGCAACATAAAGATAAACTGATAACAATAAAAATAAACTTAAATCTGAGCATCTGCGACTCTTAATTGGTTGATATGAACAAAAAGTTTTGAGATTAATTACAACAGGTGAATATAGCAATGCTGTTGCAATTAAAAAAAAATTAAAAATAGAAGAACAAATTAAAGTTAGTGAATATACAGTAAAGAGAACCTTATATAGAAATAGAATGAGTGCAAGAGTTAAGTGCAAAAAACTATATCTTCAAAAAATACATAGAATCGCAAGGATAAAATTTGCAAAAAAGTACAAGTTATGAATAGTTGAAGATTAGAGTAAAGTAGTTTAAGTCAGATAAGTCAAAATTTATGATTTATAGGTCAAATGGTAGAGAGTATTATTAGAAAAAGCTAAGAGAACTATTACATGATTATCATGTTAAACCAACGATCAAATTTAGATAAGGTAATATTATGATATAAGAATGTTTTACATCTGATGGGGTTAGTAATATATGCTGAATTTATGGATATATGAATAGTGATTTACATTGCCAAATTTTAAAGAAAGACCTATTGGAAACTATTATATGGTATGAAATGGATAAAGAAAATATTATTTTTTAATAGGATAATAATCCTAAACATATTGCACATCTTATAAAGCAATAGTTTGAAGATAATAGGGTTAAAGTTCTTGATTGGCCAGCACAATCCCTGACTTAAATCACATAAAACACCTTTAAAATGAAATGATCATTGTCTGAGGCAGCTTGGAATACCTATTAGAATACAGGATCAGTTATGAAATGCAATTCAAAAAATTTGAGTTGAGTTAGAGTTTGATGTATACAAAAAGTTGGTTAATACTATATCAATTCATATAAATAATGTAATTAGAGCTAATGGTAGCTATACAAAATAGTAAATAATTATTTATCAAAGTTTTTAATAAGTTGATTAGATTTTTAATGTTTTTTTATATACTTAAAAAATTTAATAAAAAATGCTCAAAAGAAAAGGATCGCCTAATTGTTCAAAAATAAATATTTTTTAAAAATTTATCTCATTACTATAAACTGATTTTCATATATTGAATAGATTTGGTTATAATAAGTCTAATAAATAATTCATATAATATTACGTCATCTTTAATCACAAGAAAATGCCATTTTAAAATTTGTATTCAAGTGATGCAATACTTTTGAGCGCCACTGTATACATTCGTCAAAGGTTTAAATATATTTTTTAATATATAATAAAACCTTATTTAACTTGAAAACTATGGATTTAACTATGGATTTAACTATAGAATTTATTACATAAACTATAAAAGAGTCAACTTACTGATACTACCTAATAGTTGCAATCTAAGAAGATTGCATTTTAATAACACAATAAAAATTCAATAAACAAGACTAAATCTTTTATAATGATTCAAATTTCATAAAATATAGTTCATTTTTAAGTTCTTAATATCTTAAATCTGATGGTATTAGTTTGGTAATTTTTTGACTGATCAATCAATTTCTTAAGTAATTAATAATCTTTATATTAAATTTTATATTTTAAGATTCCATAAGTAACTTCATTTTGGGACTCTGATATTTGGTGACCTGTCGCTATAGCGACTCCTATCACGTGATTTAATTATATCATATGATTTATATTATTTTCTGATTAGACAATAAATTTTATATAAGCGGTAAAATAATACCTATATTCTTTTAATTCAAACTCATAATACTTATAATATTTATTCAGTTTTATATTTTTTTCGATAGTATCATAAGGATAATCCTAATCAGAGATTATTTAAAATTCAATGAATAATATTAAAGCCATTATTACTAATTTTATTATTTGATTACAAAAAAAAAAAATTTCAGATATATAAAGCCTTTGAATTTTTACCTTCAATATCATTCCTCTTAGCTATATGAATAAATACAATAATATAGTTAAAGGATTTTCAATCACAACCTAATCTAACTAATTTAAACAATAAAACTTACCTTTCATCGTCGATGTTCTCTTTATTAGCATTAGTATTTAATTGTTCTTGTTCTTTACAAGTCTTGCTGTTATGTCCCCTTTGTTTACATAATTTGCATTTATATTGAGTTTTAACACTAGGTTGTTCTAAAGAACTTTTAACTCTCTTGGATTTGGGACGACCCTTTGGCCTTCGTTTAACTGGATTTTAAACACTCATAATATCAATATTACCATCATGATCAATACCACTATTATTGTCATTGCCATTATTGCTATTACCAATAATTCTTTGTTGTGATTTTTTTTGTAATGATTAAAAGACTTCAAGAAGTTCATGATAATTATCCTCATTATTATCTTCAATTATATCAACTATTATCTTCCTTTTCAATCCCAAAATTTGCCGAATTTATGTTTCTTTGAGATAGTTTTAGATATCTTATTATTATCTACGATGGTAGTAAGCCCAACATCAAACCCATTTAATGAATATAAAAATCATGTTAGTAAAGAATTTGCTTTTAATGTTGATACATTAAAGGGAGAGACTGAAGCGAATGCATTATTTGATATATCAAATTCTTGTAATGTATCTTTATACCAATATTGATTAATAAGTCCAATATGAAATTTTGCGGTAGGAGTAAGGGTCATTATACAATAAAAATGATGACATAAATAGCTATGAGTTTTATTAATCATACATGTACAGAAAAAAGTCTTATCATTTAAAAGATATATGAAATGTGATATCTTTGAATTCGTTATATAAAAAATCTCCCAAATTTTGAGAATAATCAAAGTATCCTCCAAAATGAACCCAATTATATTTGTGAACAATCAAATAGATTTTTAATACACTAGTCAGATTCATCAAATACCTAAATTTTAGTTTAGAAACTTATTTTAATTTCGTAAGTGAAATCTTATCTCTGAGGCCAATTAGGTCAGAAATACGATAATAAACAATTTGTTATAATCAAAAGATAATATATTACCTTCTTTTTAGAGAATACAACTTCAGGCTCAACCTCTGTAGCATGATAATAAAGGCTTAGATTCATTTGTTCTTCTTATTTTTTTATAATATTTGGCATTACAAATTCCTTTAATTGTTATGCTATTGATCTAAAAATGGTTTTTACTGTGTTTTGAGATCCTACTTGTGGCATCGTTTGTTTCCAATTTATAAACTCGCAATAGTCACTTTCTTCTTGGTATCTTTCCTCCATTACGTCAAATAATTCACATAATAAAAGGTTTGCACTTCTGAAAAGCCACTTTAATATTGAATTTTCGCTTTCATTACGAGAAGTGGATTGTGCTCAGAGTAAAATACTGATTTGTAAATGCACGTACTACTGATTGAGAATTGTTTCCTAAAGACTGCATTAAATAATCTTTTGCCTTTGGGTAATTTTGCAATAATATCTCCCATCTCTCATTAAATTGAGTTTTTGTTAAACTGTTTCTTGTCTTAAAAAAGTCTTTCTTAAAGTTACTAAAACTTGAACCAAGCTCTCTTTTAATCTTTTAGGTAAATTCTGACTTATGTGCTATATACAATGTATATAATAAGTACTAGGGAATTCCATTAAAACTGCACCTTCAACTGCTGGATTACCATCTGTAATAAATACTTTCGGGGATATACCAGTTGCGTTTTTATACATCAAAAGACCCACTCATATGAAAGTTGACTTTCATCGTCAACAATCGCTTAGACCACAATTCTTGTTTTCAAATTATTATCAGGGGTGACAAAGAGGGACAGTGGATGATTATAGCGATTGGTTTTGCAGGTGTTATCATACATTATTACATTATGGTAGCGCAACTATAAAATGTGTTGTTTAGGACTCATCCAAAAAGATAAGTTAACGAGAAAGTAACTGGATTAAGCTTTATTGAAATTATCCAACGTGGGTCTTCCGTCTTTTTGTCATATAATTTTTTTAGTAAAATCCCAGTATCTGCTTCACCTGTTGTCACTTTATGATAAAATTTGCTAATCGTATTATATAAATCTTGTCAAATTATTTTAATATTAAACTTTTCCCTAATAATTTGATACTGAATTGTTGCATTTACTTTGGCAATAACAGTTAAAAAACGAATCTCTTGAATGACTTCTTCTGATAATTTGCGTAATAATGAAACAAATTGAACTGCTGATGAATGAAATTCATGACTAATATGCTGATCATGCAAAGTCATAACTTCTAAGTGGCCTTTGCTTTTTTTGTTCCAAATATTTACTTTTCATAGGCACTCAACTCTACACGATGATGCATTTAAACGCTGATTTTCTGTAAGCGCTGTCTGATTAGAATTTGCTTTTCTAGAATGTCAGCACAAATAAGTTCATTTTAATACTTCTTTCGTTACTTTATCTATCCTCCTACTGCTACCAATTTGTATTTCATGACCCTTGATAGCAGTGTACTTTTTCATAAATTTTGAAATATGATTCTAATTTTAGAAAACTTTGTCAACAAAAAGTTTCACATCCTCTTCTGTATCTGCTTCTGTATCTGCAATATTATCAGATGTACTATAAGATAAGATGATATATTAGGTATACTTCCCAATTTATAATAGTAATATTCTAAATACTAAATTGCTTACCTATCTGCATCAGAGAAATCTTCTGCACTATTATACATTAATATTTAAGTATTCTTAAAAAAGTTATTTCTACAGTATAGTTTTACATTAAAAAATCGTTAAAAAAATTAAAAAAAAACTAATACTATAGAAAAGGTATCGATATAATAGAGAAGATGAATCATCAAAGAACTAATAACTTGGTCAATTGTTAGAAAGGTAAATCCCTCTTCAAAATTAACCTATAGACTTGGACCCAAAGAGCTAAAATCCAAAAAAAAGAAGTATAATCAGATATTTTCGTATCATATAAACTTTGGTGTTATACAAAATCAATATATTTATATGAAAATTTGACTTGCATAACATAAAATTCATGATTCATAATGCGTGACATGAAAAATTCTCGTGACTTGTAATATTATTATAATGCGTAATACAAAATTTTTGTGACGTATAATACGATCATTCGTGATTTATAATACATGATACGAAAAAATTTTCGTAACACAAAACTTTTTTGCGTATTAGTTTCATAGGCTCAACACGAAATGATTTTTGTTATGATTAATATATTTAAATACTTAAGTTTAATTGGTTAGATATTATTTATTTAGATATTCAAATTTGATTAGCTAATCAAGCAGGGGTCGCCATAACGATATGGGTCGCCAATTACATTTTTCCTTCATTTTTTTTACATAATTATAAGCAATTTTTTCATCTCTTTTAAGTAATCAAACCTTAGCATCATTAGAAGATTATTTCTAAATTTGCTTATAAATACTTCTTTCAAAATTAACTTTAAATCTGCTTAAGATTTTTTATATAATACATATAATTAAAATTTTACTAATTATTAAAATTATTTTAATTTCCTGTAATCTAATTTTGATAAATTTAATAAATTTTAAAGCTCTCTTATAATTGAATCTGATCATCTTAAATTAGTATTTCTATGATCTTTTAGATTTCTTAGATCTCTTAGATCTCTTAGATTCATTTTAAAAATTTGCAACTTAAATATTTAATTTTAAATACTTAAAGATAATCCTATTTTCTACATATTAATATACAATTTCTCACTTTATTTAAGTTTTCAGATAGCAAAATTAGTATTTAGTATTATTATTTTTCTAACAATTCTTTTTGCTTCAGTTCTGATATTTACACTTGCTTGAGATTCTTTTATAATAAGTTTTAAAATAATTGCTTTTTATTTTATATAATTATTTCTAAATTGAGTGATTAGATTAAATGATTGGATTTGTTAAATTTAATCATATTTGAAAGATTCAGAATCTATTGAATCTGATTATTAAAGTTTAATAAGAATTAGATTAGTTGATATTAAGATATTAAGATATTTATGTTTAAATATCATTATAAAATTGAAACTTTATATTTTTAACTAAATTATTTAATTTTTTAGAAAAAAAAATCAAAAAGAGTTGCTAATATATTTTATTTTCAAATAAGTGTATTTTAGTAATTTAATACTTAAAAAAGTTCAGTATAGTATGTATTAACATTAATATAAAATTCTAATTATTTCAAAAAATTTTAAAATTCAAAATTTTCTTAATAATAATTTTCAAACAAATTTTCTATATTTTATAAATAAAATTCTATTTCTATTTTATAGTCACCTTGATATTACAAATAAATACTTGAATTGATTGGGTCTTTATAAAAAAAATAAATTGATCTACAATTCATTTAGAAGTATTTTTAAATTTGAAATTGATTCTAAAATATTTCACTGATCATGCTAATTATTTTCATAGAAAATTTGTGAAACTTTGATGATCTAAAAAAAATTTTTTTTTTACAAAAATTAGTTTTAGAATCTATAAGACTTTTTTTAAACCAGTTTTCTGTAAAACTATATTTATAATTTTTTCTGCTAATAAGTATCCAAAAAATCAATTAATATAATAATAAATTAAAATAGCAATGTGTATCAACTAGTATTATAATAAATTGAATATTAGTAATAATAAAGAAATATAATATTTAAATAATTTATTTATTATTTATAATGTATTCAAAAAATTTGTACATTACTAACTAAACACTTATTAAATAAATATTAAGATATTTATTATTAAATAAAATACTATTGCTATTTTTTAAATTACATAATTAATGAAAAAAATTCGTAAATAGACAAGTAATAAAGCTAAGTATTAATTCAAGAGACATTTTATAATCCAAAGATTCATAGAAGTTATTTCTAAAAAAGAAAGAAAAAGAATATTAGAAAAGTTTTTTCTCAAAGAAAAATCCATCCCATTCAAAATCTATCTTTTAAGAGCTGATCCAAGAGAAATTTTATAATCCAAATGATCTTGGAAGTCATTTCTATAAAAAAGAAAAAAGAGAATATTAGAAACATTCTTTCTCAAAAAACTATTCTACTCTTATTTTCTAAGAACTGATCTAAGAGAAATACTATAATCCAAATAATCTTAGAAGTAATTCCTATAAAAAAGAAAAAAAGAGAATATTAAAAACATTCTTTTT